ATATATATATAAAATGACACAAAGTGTGGTTTGTTGCTTGGCTGGGACATCTAGGTTTAGTCACACCTCTCAGCACTTTATTAGGCTCACAACATAAATTATACTTGAAATATTATTTATTGGCTCTTACTAAAAAAATAAAATAAAAAGCAGACCTGCAGCCTAATTTGCGGGCCAACCCACAGTGTTAGTCATCATATCCATACAGAGCAACGCACAACAACTGACATGTGTTTCCACTGATTATTTACTTAGGCCAATTTCATACCTTTTCATTTTGAGAAACTGTCCAGGAATATTTACGCCAATGCACAATATGTTCAGTGTGTCTTTTAGGTAGCACAGAGAGAGGGGAGATGGTGGAGATAAAGACATGAGACACACCTAAAAGCTTTGCTTCACACTGAACTCCCTTCATAAAGCAACAGTAGTTCATGACTAGACAAATTGGGGGAAAAAGTCACCGATTAGCATGTGTTGCTTATTAAAGCTTCATTTAGATAATTTAATATAGTTGCCAGTGAAGTAACAGTTTTAGAAAAGTCCATAACAAATTCCAGCTTTGAATAAAATCCAATAAGGTGAGAAATGCAAGAAAAAAAAGCCCTAAGAATTGTGAAAGATTTCTTTCACCTCACCTATAAGCTGTTTAACCTCCTGGCATCATTGAATGAAAAACAACCAGCATGTGCATCAGTTGTACCCGCTGGGCAATAAGGCTCCCATATCTTCGGCAGCACTCTCAACACAACATGAACAAAATTAATGTTTTGTTTCATTATATATTTTATGTGCKTAAAATGACAAAAATAATTCATTTTAGTCAGTTATAACCAAATCCAGTAGTGAGCCACCCTAGCGATTAGAGCAGGGGTGGGCAATCCTGGTTCTCGGGGGCTGCAGCCCTGCGTGTTTTACTTTTTTCCCTTTACTTTTTCACACAGTTGGTTCAGTCACTGAATTACTTCCAAGTTCTGCAGAAGCCTAATCATCCACTCATTTAAACCAGGTGTGTTGGAGCAGAGAAACAAGTAWAACATGCAGGGCTGCGGRCCTCGATGCCCACCCCTGGATTAGAGAGTAAACAAGTCATGTTTACACTGCAGATCTTAATGACCTATTATGATTTTTTTTGGCAAAAATCCAAATTTTTTGCATGGACGTTCATAAATATATTTTAAATGCTACATTCATCAGACTACAGTGTGAATGCTCCACAGCCCTGATGCGGCTCGCATGTGCAGAAAATGACGTGACYTCACATTCAGGTCATTGTTTACAGAAGTAGCCTTTGGATGCTACATGTTAGCATCTGGATTCTGAAGTTGTTGTGCAGTCAGAGCTGGGTAAATATTTATCTGACATGCTTGTTTAGTCCACTGTTTACATTCGAACATGCCTCTGGCCGGCTACTCTGGTGCAGCATGTATAAGTGGAACAAGGGCAACATAAAATATCGATCCTGTAACTTTAGTATGCATACAATCCGAGACAGACTATTATATATTTCCATGGATTGTCAGTCATCCAGGACATACAGGTGAAGCAACTGGTCTTCTGCTTTGTTACTGAAAACATGGAGTTACAGGACTTAAACTGCATGAGGTTGCTWTGAATTATTTAAATACTTGGATCCATCTGCTCGGCCTCACCTCATAGATGTAAAATTTGTATGAAATGTGACATGAGAGGATTGCCGTAACTTTGAAAAATGTCAAATYTGTATCTGAGTTAGTACCACATACWGAAAGGACCTGGGTCAGATTTGCAAAAATTGGATTTGTCACATTCAG